GATATTTTTCAATAGTAGAAATGCAGCCCTTGCTTTGTCGATCCGCACTCTCACATCTGCATCGGATCCCCGACCGTAGCTGCTACCCTGACGTGCCTATCGTGATCACCCAGCCAAGCTATACTGGCTGGAACATATGTTCCTGAAGGGTCTACCATGCCAGGCAGATCGACTGCAGAACGATGAGACTAAAAGCAGCTACCAAAGGTCTGAGGACGAAGTCGTACTGCTGACTGCAGAGAGGTGTGACAGCAGTAAGGTGTTTCCCTCGGACAACCAGCATCTACAGCGATGCTGATGATGAGTTTTACAGAAGGCTTTCGGACCTCCTCCAAAAAGCTAGGCGCTCTGATATGGTAATAATGGCTGGTGACTTCAATGGTCAAGTAGGTAGACTGAGTGAAAATCAAAGACACCTAGGTGGATGTTATGGTGTGGCGGCTCAGAGAACAGACAATGGTGACCGTCTGTTGCAAGTATGCTCAAACAACCGCCTTTTCTTAGAAACACTAACTTTAGGCATAAGGAAAAGCATCTGTTGACCTGGCGACCTCCAAAGTCGTCTCAAAGTTGGACTCAACTAGATCACATCGCCATCAGCCACCGATGGAGGGGTTCAACAGAGGACTGCCGCTCGTTCTGGGGAACAAGTTTAGATTCTGATCATGCCCTAGTGCGAGCTCGTATTTGTTTGAGGCTTACTGAACGTAGGAAAGACACTGTAAGGAAGCCTCTTACGGTTTTACTTAATGATAATCAAACTAAGAAAATATTTCAGGCGCAACTAGAAAGACAGGTAGGCAACCATGTAAGTGATTCCCATCCGGAAGCAGGATGGAATGATATCAAAATGTCTGTGGAAACAGCAGTGATATCTGCTAGTAAGGTAAACCATACGGCTAGGAAGAAGCCGTATATTTCAATGGCATCCACTGAACTGATGGATGCTCGAAAACTCACCCCTCCTGGCTCTGAGTGCGATGAGGAGCGGAGTCAGCTTAGACGTAGGCTGACAAAAAGCCTACGCAATGATCGGGAATAGTGGTGGGTGGAGAAAGCGAAAGAAAAGGAAAAGGCTCATCAGGGAAACTGGTATTAGGAACCCAAGTTTGAGTGAGACTATTTCGGAAAAGTATGGTCTTATTATCCATTCTCAGTCCAGGAGACTGGACCTTAAGGCGGCATTTGACTCAGTGGATCGTGAGGCTCTGTGGCAGTGACTGTCACTGAAAGGTGTACCAAAGAAGTACATTAACCTCATACAAGCTCTCTACTCGAGTGAGAGCTTATGGCAAACTGTCAACGGAATTCTTTATTTCAAGTGGTGTCCGTCAGGGATGTCCACTTTCTCCATTCTTGTTTAATTTTATCATAGACATGCTCCTAGAAATAACCTTATCCTCGTCTGAATTTTCAGGAGTAGACCTTCTACCAGGTGGCTCGCTTATTGACTTAGAATATGCCGATGACATAGTCCTACTTGGTGAAGACGCTGACAAAATGCAGAGTCTTCTGACTACCCTAAGCAACAATGCAAGCATGTTCGGGATGCGGTTCTCACCCTCGAAATGCAAAATGTTGCTTCAAGATTGGGTTGCATAGGCGCCTGAACTAGTGATAGGGAGTGAAGTAGTCGAACGTGTAGACCACTCCACTTATCTTGGGAGTCTGATCAGTGCTGGATGGCCTGGTGACTGACGAAATCTCAGCTCGGATACAGAAATCTCGATTGGCTTTTGCCAACTTGCGTCACTTATGGCGTAGGCGAGATATCCGTTTGCTGACTAAAGGACGAGTGTACTGCGCAGCAGTTCGCTCCAACCTTACCGACGGAGAAGGATCCGCCTTGGTTGTCGATGATGCCGACAAGATAAGTAATGGTGTTAACGCTCTTCAAGGCATCTCCATTAAGAATGATTTGGTTGGTGCATGTTGTGTTGTATCGCAGAATCATGCTTTTCTCTTTACGTATGTTGAGATCCACGCAGCATACTTCGGATCCGTTGACCAGACAGTATCAGCAACAATCTAATGTGGGAGAGAATAAACCAGATTGCAGCTGAGGAAGAATTTCTGGAGGTGGATAGGACAAACATAGCGGAATGCATTCAACTTTGTAAAAGATATGCTCTCACTTGGAACCCTCAAGGTCAAAGGAAAAGTGGAAGGTCAAGGAACACATTACGCCGAGAAATGGAGACAGACATGAGAAGAATGAACAAAAGGTGAACAGAACTGGAAAGGGTATCCCTGGACAGAGTAGGTTGGAGAATACTGGTCAGCGGCTGATGCTCGAATGTGAGTAACAGGCGAAAATAAGTAAGAACGACATAAAATCACACCATAGTTAATGTGATTTTGTAGTGATCAAACACCCTAACTTTAATATGAAAAATCAAATTCACAATTCTAGCTTAATTTATAATACCTGATAACCTTAACTTTTCGGTACTATATCATAGTTGGTGTCAATAGGTGTTGAGAATTCTCTTAGATGTCAAACTTAACTCATAATACTACCCTGAATCAATATTGTGAACTTTACCTTTTTTCTTTAATGACAATTCATAAATCGAAATGTGAATGTTAATTATTCATCTGATCAAAACTATTATTCCTTTATACTGTTAATCATAACGTTAAGGTAGCTCTGTCTTATCCTATGACCGGACGCTCAAGGTCATCCATATTTTAATACTGTTACTTGGAAATCTTGTCAGTACGTTGTATTGAACATTTGAGACACTAAGTCATCTACTTATTTCTGGACCCATATAATCTACTCTGATGATAAACTAGAGGTTAATTAAATGACCCTTTGCGTATTTATAGGGTTGTTAACATTGGTGAACTTTTAGAAACTTTCAAAAATGAAACTAAAATTAGTATTGGTTTTCTGTATTCAACCAATCATGTTAGATGACCGGACTTCTAGAACTTTCTAGCAGCTTGTGAACAAATTTTCGATGGCTTGAAATTAATTTTGGACTTGCTTCTACCTCTAAGAAAGTTCTCGAATAATTTTTTTTAAGAAAAAGACAACTCAAAACAGACTTAGTTACTTACTTACGCCTGTTACCCCCAACGGAGCATAGGCCGCCCACCGGTTTTCTCCAACCAACACTGTCTGTCCTGGGCTTCCCTTTCCAGTTCTGTCCAGTATTTGTTCATTCTTCTCATATCTTTCTCCATTTCTCGCAGAAATGTGTTCCTTGGCCTTCCTCTTTTCCTTTTGCCTTGAGGGTTCCATGTGAGGGCTTGTGTTGTGATGCAGTTCGGTGCTTTTCGTAGTGTGTGTCCTATCCACTTCCAACGCTTCTTCCTGATTTCCTCCTCCACAGACTTATTTCCCCATACACAAAACGACAAATTGTTGGGGATGTATAATCTCTAGAGCTCACTGGATAGAATGTCTTAATTTTTGGATTTGATTCATGGCCTGGTCAGTTGACCTTGAGATCTCATTTCCTACTAAGAAAATCCTTAGCTGTGATCGGTTACTGTGTTATTTTAGTGTGCTATTTTCGTGACTTTCCCAAGGATGTTTCTATCATGTATAAATAAATGCGATTTGTGTGCCTGGATTCATTGTGTATTGGCTGGTTGTTTGTAGAATACACTTTCTACGCTATATCAAAACTTTTTCGTTAGTTCCTTCGGGTAGACGGATAAGAGTAGCCTACCTGTCTCGTTCTCGTTTATCGACTAAGGTGACCGCGTAATCATTTAAAGCAAATCTACTGACGAAGTTAACACAAATGCATATTCACATATTTATTACTAGACAGATTACAAATAAATTCACAAAGTCTCCATGATAACTTTACATGAAAAAACAAAGTATAACTACCAAAATCTTTTTTTTTTCTTGAACGAATGAAATATATTGATTGATTTGACAAAAGCAATCTACATTTATCTTGTCTTATTAGCCTAGATGAATGACATTTATAGTACTGTCGCCTTCGACTAATTCTCTCTGTCATCATTACATGTAATTGTCCTTACTACAACTTGTAGATAAGAGAAATATATATGTATAATTACCACCCTAGTGTCATTTGTCTTTTTGTTTTGGTGCCCAAACACAATAACACAGTTATTTTTAAAAAAACCAAATTACAATAAGTGTATTTGAGTGTGTGAGTGGGTGCGCGCTTTTGGTATTTTGAAAAAGAGAAAACTTCATTTTTCCTTTTCTGAAGAGCAGTTGTTCACTTACTTTTCTGCTTTTTTTCTCCTTGTTCTATTCAATTACATTTTTCAATCTTACAGGAGGATAAAAATTAACAATGAACATTGAACGAAAGCACATATCAATGTATGTGTATGTGCACACATTAATTTTTAAAATGTTCACATGAATTTTTGCTTATTTAGCCCGATAATGAACTAAATTCCACTACAACTCGATGATAATAATAACTTATTAAGGTTAGTAATTCATTCACATTTCCCGTAAAATAAATAACTAAGTATTTCAGGCTTTCTTAGAAAAACAAATCATAAATCATTTTTCTGAATAAATATTTCAATGTATTTCAATAATACAAGGACAAAACCAAACCAAAACAACAATAATAATGATCAAAAAATTGCATTTTTGTCTCAGAACAATTTTAAAATTGACAGACTGTATTGACTTTCTGATTGGTGGAAATTTTATATGTATTTGTATATGCAGCTCAAGGTCACGCCGATGATATTAACCAATCCGAATCGAGTGTACATTTGAATTTTCACATTTGACTAATTGTGAATAATAATAATAATAATAAAAATAAAATTGGTTGTTGGTGAAATGATTTTCATAAAATGAAATGAAATTTATAAACTAGAAAAAAAAACTCAAACATTAATTTATGTAAAAAAGTTTATTTTTTTTGTCAAAAACAATTTTAATATACATAAATAAATCTATACGTATATGTAGTGGAGAATATTGGATCCAATCACTATTCTTATTACAAATATATATATTTATATGTTAAATGATGAAACCAATCATTAGAGTATTCGGAATTTTTATTTTATCCGGTAAGTATACTATTGTCATTTGTTTGTTAGTTTGTTGATATCATGACAAATATTAGTCAGAAATAAATTTTTTCACAGGTACTGTATTCTAAATAAAATAACATTGTTTATAGTGTGGGAATCGGAAATATTCATGCCACTTGTCAGTACTATTCATCCATAATTTTATTTAAATATCTAGATAAAATCATTCAAATCTCACAGTGATCAACCAACCATTCTTTGTATCGATCACTACTCCGATGGTCAACATTTCTAACGTTATTAAAAAATCAATTTTGCTCTTAAAAATGTAACGTCATCCTTTTGATTGATGTTATGTAACAGCTGTTATTTTTACGAAATAAATTATGACTGATAACAAAAAGGTGTCAAATATAATTTTACTGATAGTGTAATATACAAGTCATTCAGATTTTTGAATTCATCTGTTCTAGTGAGAATCGATGTTGAGACTGAATGAGAAAATTTAAAGCGATCAAGAGTATTCTTAAGTGAATCAATTTGATTTATGTGATAAGCTTCCTATTTTGAACTGTTCTTTATAGGTATACTTTTTACCCGTTTATAAATCACTAGTCAGTTGACTTACTTATTTACTTACTTACTTACGTACATACTTAGTTGCTTACTTACTTACTTACTTATGCAATTACTTGCCTACTTACTTACTTACTTACTTACTTACACACTTACTTACTTACGCCTCTTAACCCTTAAAGAAGTAAAGACAGCCGACCAGCATTCTGAAACCTACTCTCTGCTAGGCTTTCCTGTCTAGTTTTGTTCAACTGCTGTTCATTCTTCTTATGCCGATCTTCATTGCTCAGAATAATGTGTTTCTTCAGTCCTCCTCTTTTCCGCTGAAATTGGTGACACAGTTGAGCGCAGTCCTCAAACCTGACTACATATTTATTAATTGACTCTTGATCTAATTTTGAAGGGTTTATTTGTGGAAATACCTCTATGTAAACATTTGCAATTTGTCGGTACTGATTCCTTCAGTTCTACAGTTTGTTAGTCTGTTCGATTCCATTTTAAGATGATAATATTTAGATTTTATTATAGTTTCTATTTCTTCTTCTGCCTTAATTGAGTTTCTATGCTTCCTTTTGAACTGCATTTATGTTGTTTAAACTGATACTTAGTCATGGCGATAGCCACATTGATTTGTTCCTCTTTTGATTGTGGCGGTTGCTTGCTTTGACTGAAATTGTGCATTTTGAATTTGAAGGCCTCTTCCAGAATAGGAAACACTCTGTGTTATAAGGCAACCAAATATTATCTGTCGAACGAATCTGATCTATCCACCAGAAGGGATAGAATATCAGTTATCTGTTGCTGTTGTGGATTTGAATAACTGAACAATTGTTGGTGGAATTACTGAGTGGTAATATTTGTTTAGGTAATAGTGTACATGTTTATTCATGATGAATATTAGAACCACTGTCATTTACGCAAATCACTTTGTTTTGGTTTTCAACTTGGCAATAGCGCCTGTTTAATCTACCCAAAAACAGTGTTATTCCTCAATCCAAACCTCACTATGGATCCTACACTAATCATATAAGCATTAAGAGGTTTACTAAATTTTCTATCCTGTAATGAATGTCAAATTGAATTTGTTAGAAAGAAAAAAACACGAACATGATAATCAATTTAGTATTCTGGTATTTTGATTGAAAATTTTGGACAAAGTAGAACTTTGTTGTACAATTTGAACATTGTATGATAGTGAATACCTTAAGGTAGTTTGTGAGTTTATTGTTATTGAGTAAAAACAGCACATTACAGTAGTTGCCATTAAAATGTTTTTCGAAATCGAAAACAAAGACCTTAAAAAACTTTAATACTTTATAGGAAATTTTAAAAAAAAATTTTTTTTTTCAACCATGTCAATGTTGCAGTCTTTAAAATATTCTGTTAACTATTAGATTTTCAATTAGAGTTATGGAGATTCGCGTTTTTACAACTTTGAAATCATCAATCAATCATTCGTTGTTAGACCACCATTAGAAGAAACCTGGAAGCACCTGGAAACATCCAATGTCTAACTGTGATTGATCTAGGGAGTTTGCACGACCTCATCCATTTGCCGTTGGATGCTGACCTAATGGTCCAGAGGTTAGGTGTTCGCGCACACAATACTAAAGGTTTCGGGTTTGGATTCTGCAAGATGCGGGAATCATGGATGCGCACTGAGTCCCACACCAGGACGAAACGGCCATCTTCTAGTGCATCCAGATTTCTAATGGTGGTCTAACAGTTACTGTCTGATGATTTCAACTACTTATTTATAAGTTTGAAGAATCGTTAAAACAATAAATATTGAAATTTCATTTTAACTGAATCATTGTTTCGAATAAAAACAGTTTAAAAAATATGTTTGTTTTTAAGTTAGGCATAATCGATATAACATGCTCACTAGTGACTACTAGTTTCATGAGGAGATTTTTCGGAGTTCTAGGTGAGAAGACGTGACCCCCAGTGGAGTCCAGTCCTTTCAGGTGTAGTAGGTAGTAAATACCAAAAGACAATGAATGGTGTAGTTGCGCGAAAATCCCTAGATTGATAAACAAAAAAGTTAGAAATTCACACTGCTGGATTCCAGCTCAATAGTTTAAAGGTTAAACGCTCGAGCATAAGGCCGTAAGTCCTCGGTTCGACGAATCCTGTGAGCAACTGGAGTCCCATTCCAATGCTTTCTGGTTTCTAATGGTAGTGGTCTAACATTGGTCGATTCATGATTTCAATGAAACTCAACAATCCTCACAACCATAAACTGACAAGATCATTTACAATTCAAATATGTGTAGAGTAACTCTCATATAATGTACAGTAAATATCTATGATCTTGTACCATAACTGGATCAGAATAGTTTAAGAATGTCTAAAGAAATCTCTTTTAATTATGGCTGACTAGTCTTATATCCTCCACAACATTTCATTTTTACTCGACTTACTGCGTTGTGTGTCCACGGAACTTGAATCCAACTGGTAAAGACATGATACATATCCTGATTGCATCTTCCACAATGAATATCACTTTTTTTCAAACGAATAAATTTCATTTTTCAAGAAAGATTAGAAAATTTTTTTTTTCAATGAATTTTGAGTTTTGTGTCACTGTCATCGGTTATATTAAGTCATTAGGTAGGTAGGTAAAATTCTATTTCATTACAGCGATGTGAAGATTGTTAATACATTCTGAAACCATTAATCGATCAATGTTACATCACCATTAGAAACCTGGAAGCACTGACAGACGGCCGTTTCGTCCTGGTATGGGACTCCTCAGCAGTACGCGTCCACGACTCCTGCACTACGCAGGATTCGAACCTGGGACCTTTGGTCTTATGAGAGAACGCCTAGTCTCTGGACTATTGAGCCGATATCTATTTTTTATAAAAAAAAGTAATCACACGAGGTAATGAGTAGTATTGTGTTTATTTAGTTTTCGATTCTAGTGAAAAATTTCTATCGTTCAAGTTACAGTAATACGATTATTAATGTAAATCTTTATGAGATAAGTTAAACTGTTCATAACTTATTGTTGATCAGTAACACTTGTACATTTGAATCAAACTTATGTTCATATCTCACAAAAAAATATCAAAATTCTTACCAGATCGATTACAAGTAAGTTTGTTATTTTTTTTGTCAAACACTGTTAGCTAACTATCGACTGACTACCTACTACTCCAATTAATATAATATGAACATGGGATGAATAGTTTTAATCGGCAGTCCGATTGAAAATTTGAATTTAAACGGGTAACACAAACAATCTCCCTCCTGTTGATGTGTACATATCAGCATTGAATATTGAATGTGTGTGCGTGTTTAGTTTGTTTGTTTAAACTAATAATAATATTAGCAAAAACTGCTTAACATTATTATTTGAATCGTAAGAGATACATACATACATTCAACATGATATGAAACGATTTTATAACTTAGGGGAAAAAAAGAATTATGTCACTTATTGAAATTGAGGTGTGTAGTATGTTTTTTAATTTCTTTCTCTAGACATTTCCTTGATGAAACAAATGACATAATTATTACTATTTATTACTAGTATTTTTATGTTATGATTTCACGTACACACATATGACACTAAAATTATTCAAAAAACTACTTTTATATTCTTTGAAATTATGAATCGATCATTGTTAGACCATGATAAATGCCTCTCGTCTTAGTATGGTACTTCTTGATAGTGTACATCTATGGTGTGAGCTACTTATAAGTAATAAATGACGTGAGTGTCAACGTAATGTTTGGCAGCAGAAGATAGGGTAAGATCAAGAAAGGAAGAGTTAGAACACAATGGAATTTGTATGAAACGCATGAATAGTGACAATGGATTGTTGATGTTTTGCAACAGGAACAATCCAGTTCGATATGATGAACTGATATTTTGCAAATGAACGGTTTACGATATGGTTTTCCGATTTTATTGAGTAACTCTGTAATTTTCGATAAATACAATCCGGTTGCCCCACGTGGGTCCTCGTTCACTACACATTCACGTTTCCTCACATGCAAGAATCGAATCTAGGACATTCAATCTCTAGACCACTGAGCCGATATCTAACAGTATTCATGTCTATCCTCAACATCAATCCATGATATTGTTTGATCATTGTTAATAGTCTGTCTCACACTTGACACGGTCAAACTACACTATTCTTGGCTTCTCACTAAGATTCCGAGAATTTCTCTGTGAAGCTAGTTACATGAGACAGCACATTTTTTAATTGATTGTGAATGAATGAATGAATGAATGATTTGAATATATCAGTGGTTACTTTTTCCAAAAATTATATTACGTGATATAGAATCATATTACACATACTTACTTACATTATTTACTAACTCCTGTCATCCCTAATAGAGCATAGGCCACCGATAAGCATTCTCCAATCTAATCTGTCCTTGACGATCCTTTCCAGTTTCGTTCAGTTGTTGTTCATGCTTCTCATGTCTGTCTTTATTTC